CCACCGCAGATCCATACCCTTGAAGGTGTCGGCCATCAGTTTACATTTCAATGAGTCAGTGGGGCCAATTTTTGCCATTTGATTGTTGATGGCGATAACGTGCTTCTGAGGGTAAGTTTTTCCGTCATACGCGGTCAATGATGGTGATTTAAAGTTTTATGGGACTTGGTTGTCCCAGATAGCTTGAGACAGAGGTTGAGGTTCTAGAAGCTCCTCCTCAGGACCATCATCCCCTACGCTTCTTTATTATAGGTTTGTGATGTTGTCATGCAGAGTTTGATTCTGGTGTCTGAGGGCCTCCACCATGGCTAGTAGTTGTGCCATGTCTGGGTGGTCTCCAGGTGATGACATTTTGCAGAAGGTTAATTGAGGTTTGGCCTAGGAATAACTTTACCAAGGTCCCACAGTGGGTGCCAATGTTCCTGTGTAGAACAAATATTCGGCTGACTTCCCAGGAGGTTGCTAGGAAGAGCCCACCAGAGTGAGTTTATGAGATGATTGGGGGATTTGGGAGCTACGGTAGTGATGCATGTGTTCTAAGATGAATGTCTTGCTTATCCCTCATGTGAAAGCCCTTTTATATAGTGAGTATTTTTGCTTCATCAAGAGCCCCAGTTAATGAGTGACTCTTGAGTTTCATAACTATGTAACCTATGTCGTCTCCTTGAATGAAGATGATTAGTGTTGTGTAACATAGTAATGAATGCGCCATCGGCGATTACTAGCTTTAATGAGCCGAGATGATGATCAATTACAGGCAAGTGCCTCCTAGCTACCTACCCTATCTGGGTCGATGGTGAGGGTGAGTTGCTACTCGGGTCCATGGGTCGTCAGACACTTCCTAGCCGAGTTGTACCCCGGGTACCTTCACACTGAGTCGACTACTCCTTTATCCTTTCTCCTTGTCGATTGCAATACCCGGTCGGCCCTGTGATTTCTAGGATGTACAATATATATATATATATATTAAATATGAAGAGAATGTTTTTCTTATTAATTTTTTATTTTATTGATTAATATATATAAGAAAAACTTATATATTTAATTGATTAATTTGAATTAAAATAAATTACATCTTATTTATTTTATCTCTAGATGGTTTTATTTAATTGATTAATTTTGAAGTATTTTACTGGGAAATATGTTTAAAATATAAATTGTCAGCATTATGCCAAAACTCTTGGGAATTACATCAAATTTATGGAGAATTTCGAATCAATTTTGATGTACAAGATTCAATCAATCTGATCGAAATTATTTGTTCTTCACTCTTCACTCGAGTGAATCAACCAATCTTAGTTGCAAGATGATTATGTACATCAATTGACAATGGAGAAGAAAGAAAAATATATTTGGGAAGAAGAAGATTAAAGTTTAAACAAAATAGAGGAATAAGATGAGTATCCTGTAGAGTTTCTATCCGCTTCCAAACTGGAATTATTCTTTGCAACTTCAAGTGAAGTGTATTACAGATGGCATTGCCATCTTGGTGAAAAGGAAAGAAGGGATAGCAATGATTCCCGCATTTCTCATTATCCAAAAAGGAGATGAAGATATAATATATAAACAATGTAATGAGCTTGTACTAACATATACTTAAGGCCCATAAGAAACTAAAGGCCCAATAAGGCTATTGTTCTAATACCCCCATAAGCTTGAGGGTATATGGATATTAGACCAAGCTTACGAATATTGGAATTAAACAAAGATGGATCCAATGGTTTTGTGAATAAATCTGCTAGTTGTTGAGCAGAGGAGACAAGTAAGAGCTGAAATAGATGTTGTTGAAGTTTTTCGCGAATGATGTTGCAGTGAAGTTAGATGTGCTTTGTGCGTTTGTGGAAAGATGGGTTGTTGGAAATGTAGATAGCGGAAGCATCATCATAGTATAATAAAGCGGGTTGTTTGAAAGGAATGTGGAGTTCTTGTAAGATGTTGGTCAGCCATTGTATCTCACGGACAGTGGCAGCCATGAATCAATACTCTGCCTCAGTGGAACTTCGAGAGACGATAGGTTGTTTCTTCAACTTCCATGAAATCAAAGAATCTCCCTTGTAGATGCAGAAGCCTGTAACAAATTTACGTGTTTCTGGACATGTGGCCCAGTCAGAGTTTGAGAAAACTTTGAGTTGAAGACTAGAGTTGTTGGGAAAGAAGAGAGCTTGAGCTGGTGAAGACTTGAGGTAACAAAGGACATGAATGGCAACACTGTAGTGTACAATAGTGGGGGCACTCATGTTTTGACTAATTCACCAAACAAAATAAAATATATCAGGGCGAGTGTTGAGGAAATAGATGAGTTGCCCAACAAGTCTGCGAAATTTTGAAGGGTCAGGCATAGGTGTTCCATCAATTGTCTTAAGGCGCGGGTCACGAGTCATAGGAGTAGGAGCAGGTCTGCAGCCAAGAAATCCAGTGTTGGAGAGAAGATCCAAGGTGTATTTGTGTTGGTTGATATGAATTCCATATTTGCTTCTTGCTACTTTAAGACATAAGAAATGTTTTAAATTCCCAAGGTCTTTAATGTGAAAATGATGTTGCAGCAGTTGTTTGATATTGTTAATGATGCTGATATTGTTACTTGTAATAAGAAGATCATCAACATATATTAGTATGAAAGTGAAGTGGGATGTAGATTAATGGATAAATAAAAAATGGTCAGAAGAGCATTGGTTGAAATTATTAGCCAGAAGAACTTTGGATAATTTTTCAAACCAAAGTCTGCTAGACTGTTTTAAACCATAGATTGATTTCAAAAGTTTACAGACCTGATTTGGATAAGAGGGTGTGATGCCTTTTGGAAGAGACATGTACACTTCCTCATCCAAATCACCATGAAGGAATGCATTATGAACATCTAGTTGGTGGAGATGCATATTTAAAGAAGAAGTAAGAGATAAGACGAGTCTTACAGTGGTTAGTTTAATGGCAGGAGAGTAGGTGTCAAAAAATCAATACATGAACTTGAGTAAAACCTTGAGCAACTAATTGTGCTTTATGTATTTCTAATGACCCATTAAAATTGAACTTGGTTTTGTAAACCTATTTACATCTTATGCATTTCTTACCTAGGGGAAGAGTGGTGAACATCCATGTATTATTCTTAGTGGGGGTCTGAATCTCATCATGCATAGCTTTGTTCCAATGTGTGTGAAGACTAGCTTGCTTGTATAAAATAGGGTCACAAGTGGTAGAGATAACAGAAATGTAATTGAAATATTGTTATATGTAATGAATTTAGAAATGTCATGTATGATATTGGTGTGCAGTATTGCAAACAAAATCCTATAAATAAGTTGGTGTAGATTTGATTTTAACAGACTTGCGAATGTTTGAGGGTTCAGTTGGGACAGGGTCATGTTGTTCAGGTTGGCTCTCATGTATTTGATCATTATGGGACTAGTCATAATTAGACTGGTCATCATCAGAATAAGGATCATGGGGTGTAGGAGTGATAGGATCCTGAGAAACAGGAGAGGAAATAATGTCCTAAGAAGTACTGACAGGAGGAGCAGGTTCAGCGTTGAGTGAAGAATATTAATTATCAAAGAGGAAAGGGATAGTGCTATGTGTTGAAGTATTGTTTTCAATAGGGCTGTTTAAGGTTAGAATAGGTGTGTAAGGGAAAACATTTTCATGGAACACACAATTTCTAGAAGTAAAAACAACACTAGTGTTTAAGCCAAACACAAGAAAACCCTTGGTACCAGCGGTAAATCCTAAGAAAATGCATTTTATGGCTCGAGGATCCAATTCGTCCCTATTTCTAAGTAAAGTAGAAGAATATGTCAAGCAACCAAAAATTTTAAGGTTGGTGAATGAGGGAGATGTTTTAAAAAGGAGGTTGTAGGGGGGTTGTGTATAGTCTGTTAATTAGATAGGTCACATGACAAAGGGCATAAGACCAAAAACATTTAAGGAGGTGAGCATGGAAAAGCAGGGATCGAGTAACATTTAAGAGGTGCTTGTGATTTCTTTCAACCACAGAGTTTTGTTGAGGTGTCTCAACACAACTATTTTGGTGAAGAATTCCTAGGGAAGCATAATAGATAGGCATAATGAATTTAGTTCCATTATCACTCCTAATAGTTTTAGTTGTGCAATTAAATTGAGTATGGTAGTATGATATAAAGTTTTTAATATGCAAACATGTTTCAAATTTGTTTTTCATGAGCAAAGTCCAAGTGTATCTAGTGCAGTCATCAACAATAGTAAGGAAGTAGTGAGAACCATCTAAAGAGGGTATAAATATGGGATCCCATATATCCATGTGTACAAGATCAAAACAATTAATGGTAGTAGTATTTCTTAAAGAAAAAGACAATTTACATTGCTTAGCCAAATTACATGTGTGGCATACATTTTGTTTATTACAAGTAATATCAGGGAATTGTCTAGACATGTTATGCAAAACATCAGTTGAAGGGTGTCCTAATCTGTAGTGCCAAATGGCATTATCAGTTTTATTATGATTGGAAAAGCTAGAAGAAGTACAAATATCAGCAGTGGGGAGAGTAATAGGAGTTCTGTGAAGTATGTAAAGGTTATGGAGCTGTGTTATAGGTCCAGTCGTCTCCTTGGTACACACATCCTGTATTTGACAGGAATTATGTGAGAAATGTATGTTATAAGTAGAGTTGGTGCATAGCTTAGAAATTGATATGAGGATGAACTTAAATGATTCAATTGGTGCATAGATTAGAAATTGACATGATTCAATTGAAAAACACTGCTAAATTTGACAGTACCACAAAATCTAGCATAGATGTAATTACCATTGGGAAGGTTAATAGATATAGGTGTGATGGAAAAAATCTCAGAAAAATAATGAATGTAAGGGAAATCATGGTGTGATGCACCTGAATCAATAATCTACATAGAAGGGTTATTAAGAATACCATGTGTTTGTACAATACCTGTGGTTAGGGTTTTGTCTGAATTTTCAGACTTGTCTTCTTTGGATTGTTGAGTATCCTTGTGAGATTGTTGGAGGAGAAGAACTAAATGCTGGTAATCTTCCTTGGAGATACCAATGTCCTTGTCGTGGGTGTGCTGAGTTTTGTTATCTGATGTATTTTTAGCAATGTTGCTTCTATATCCAGGTGGGAAACCGTGTTTGAAGTAGCATGTCTCGATGGTATGATTGGTTTTGTGGCAGTTGGTGTAAACCATTGAAGTCTTGGATGCATATTTTGCCTTTCCATGAGGATTATTGCTGTTAGCAGAAAGAATGGTTGGGGTTGGCGCAGATGATGTAGGATTGATTTATTGTTGCGCAATGAGGGAATATGCGCGATTGATACTGGGAAGGGGATCAAGTAAGAGGATCTGTGTGCTAATGTTGTGGTAATTATCATTAAGGCCTTTCAAGAAACAGGTTACGTACTCCATATGCTTGTAGTTGCGCACAGCTTTAGCTAGGTCACATGTGTAGGGTGTGTTGCAAGAACAAAGATGGAGTATGACGTAAATCTTCGAGCTCATCCCAAAGGATTTTCATGGCGGTGAAATATGCAGATAAAGATCGATCTCTTTGTTGTATAGAATGTAATTCGCGAAGACCAGAGAAACGAAAATGATTACCTTTGGTGAATCTTTCACGGAGATCTTCCCATAGCTCGAATGTGGAGTCAAAGAAAATTGTGCTTTGTGCAATATGAGGGGAGAGGGTGCGATTAATCCATGAAAGAACCATGTTATTTGTGTGTTCCCATTGGTCATATGTAGGGTCATAAGTAGAAGGTTTCGGGAGACTTTCATTGATGAAAGAAAGTTTGTTCTTGGAGGTGAGAGCGTGGCGCATGGATTTACTCCAGTTGTGATAATTGTTGTCATCGAGGGGCGGTGTAACGATGGTGACACTGGGATTCTCTCTGGGATGAATGTAGAAGGGGTGGTTGGGATTGATGGTGGTTGCTGTTTCGATGTGTTTAGGGTTATTTTTGGGGCTATTTTTGGGTGAAGAGTGTGGGTCAGATTCAACATCTAAAGCCATGATGGATGAGGGAGAAGAAGAAAGGATGAGGATGCACAGGGAAGAGAACAAGAAAAATGCAGGGAAGTTATGCAGAAAAGGGGGAAGGTTGAAGAAGGTAGGGTTATAGTCACTGATACCATATTACAGATGACATTGCCATCTTCGTGAAAAGGAAAGAAGGGATAGCAATGATTCTCGTATTTCTCATTATCCAAAAAGGAGATGAAGATACAATATATAAACAATGTAATGGGCTTGTACTAACATATACCTAAGGCCCGTAAGAAACTAAAGGCCTAATAAGGCTATTGTTCTAATAAAGTTTACAATAATAGGAGGTTACTCCCTATTTATAGTTTTAGGTTTGCTTGCTTTATAAGACAAATCTCAAAATACAAAAGCTCAAAATACTTAATTATGTTAACTATAAAACTAGGTCTAAGTCGAAATCTTATTGAGGCAACTCCTTTGAAAATTAGACTCACATACATTAGACTATTCGACACAACCTTATTTATGTCAAGAAAACCTACTTCAATACAAGAAATTAAAATCTCAACAAAAACGACGTGGAAACAGAAGAATGAGCTAGGAATAACTGCAATGATAAAAAAGTGGAATATAATTCAATAAGTGGATCAAAAGACATTGTCATTATCATTCTAGACTAAGAGAAATACATTATGAGGCCCAAACTGTCATTCTAAACTACTCATAGATTTTTTAAATACATAAAACTTTCATGATTTTTTCCTGCTATCATGTTGAATAAGAGTTGAATTTATTATCAAAAGAAACAAATTTTAAGTAAATGCAAAACAAAGAAAAGTGGAATAAATTCACAAAGCTTAAACACTTACATGAAGTGACTTATGAATTTGTCTCGATTTGAGAAATTGTCTGTATTTAACGAAGCATAATTGTTAGTATTGTTGAAACAAATGAAGTCATTATAGAATCCGTATGTATTTAATATCGCAGAGAAAAAATGGAAATACAAGAAAGAACCAAAATTCCATTTTGATATGAAATTTTTTGCAGAAAACACACCCCTAATTAAGTATTGTTGTTACAGAATGTAAACATGATTTGCATGCTTTAATAGACAATGTGTCAAAGATGCAAGAGTTATCAACTCAATGTAAACAAAAATTCATTAAATGTTATAATATTTTAATTTGTAGTCACTTAAAAAAAAACTAGAAATGTCATTTTTGTTGTTTCTTAACATAAAGTAAAAGTGTAAGGAGTGGTTGAAGATAAAGTGGAATGAAGAGGAGATTTTATATTGTATGAAAAGTTAAAGAGACTTAAGCAACGGATTAGAGGTTGGAATCACGATATTTTTGGGTGGATAGATCTAAAGGTGAGTGATCAAGTGGATATTCTTAATGATTTGGATTGTTTGTTGGTAGATCAATTTGGAGGATTGGTAGCAAATAGAAGTAAAGTATTGAGAATGTTAGATGTATAATTTTTATTCTGTCGAAATATTTGTGTAGTGTATGTCGAATAGTTTTTGTATAGGTTGTAAGTTGTATTCGACAGAGTCGGATACAACAGATATTGCAGTCTGTCGAAATCATGTTTTGGGCTTTAGTATTTTGTTTAATTGGGCCTGAGCATTGTTTGCCTATATAAAGGGCTGTTGAGTTTGTAAATAATACAGTGAGAAATAATTCACATAACAAAACTCTTTCTCTTCTCTCTTCTTATTCTTCTTATTTTCCATAAATCATCTTTCTTTAAAACCCTTTGTTCCAACAAATTGGTATAACAGAGCTTAGTTGCGATTCAGAGAGAATCTAATGGCAAACAGAACAACAACATCAACACAGTTTCCACTGAATCTACCGATTTTCAAAGGTGAAAACTATCAGCGGTGGATTGCGCAAATGAAAGTTATTTTCAGATTTCAAGATGTCGTTGAAATCTTGAATGGTGGAGTATCAGAACTAGAAGCAGATGCGACGGAAGCCCAGAAAACTACGCACAAAGATCAAAGGAAGAAAGATGGTAAAACACTGTTCTTGATTCACTAGTGTGTGGATTTTGATGTATTTGAGAAAATAATTGAAGAAGAAACAACAAAAGGAGCTTGCGAAAAGCTAAAAACCTTGTATTGTGGAAATGAGAAATTGAAAAGGGTGAAGTTGCAAACACTTAGGAAGCAATATGAGATGCTTCAGATGAAAGAATATGAATCAATCTCTGCATATTTCTCAAGAGTTGTGACGCTAACAAACCAGATAAAGACATGTGGCGAATCGGTTACGGATCTGGAAAAGATAGAAAAGGTGTTGAGATCTTTAATTGCAGATTTTCACTACATTGTTGTGACAATTGAAGAGACCAAGAATTTATCTGAGATGAAGTTGGAAGAACTTCAAGCTTCATTGGAGGCTCATGAAATGAGGTTGAAGCAAAGAAACTTAGAAAGAGAGAAGGTGACTGAACAGGCATTGCAATCAAGATTCAGCAAGAAAGCTGGAAAAGAGAAGTCGAAGTAGCAAAAGAATCTTGCTAGTGATGAAAAGTCAAGCAAGAATACTGATTCGATCAAGAAAGGTGTGGGCAACAAGTATTCTGGAAAGAAAGTTCACACGAAAGAGGTGCAATGTTACAATTGTCAACGTTTTGATCACTATGCTAGAGACTGTCGAAGAAACAAAGTTGTGAGGGCAAAAGATAGTGATGAAGCTCAATATGCATGAGCTGGAGATAGTGATTCAGATGATGTGTTGTTGATGGTGAACACTCAGTCGAACACTGAGAAAAACATGTGGTATCTAGATTCAGGATGCAGCAACCATATGACTGGCAATAAAAACTGGTTTACCAAGTTAGATGAGTCAGTCAAAAAGGTGATAAAGTTTACAGATGACAGGCACATCAAATGAGGTGATAAAGGAGAGATTTCGATTGTCATAAAGGATGATTGAAAAGCTACTATCACTGAAGTACTATATGTACCTTCTATGACAAGTAACTTGATAAGTGGAGGTCAATTACTTGCAAAAGGCTTCAATATGAAGCTGGAGAAAAATTAGATGAAGGTATATACGGTTGATGGGAGGCTAATAATGAAAGCACCATTGACGGAGAATAAAACATTCAAAGTTGAACTCAACACATCAGATTACAAATGTCTTGCTTCAACTATGCAAGAAGACAAGAACTGGCTATGGCATTACAGGTATGGACATCTAAACTTCAAGAGTTTATGCATTCTCAATCAGAAAAGAATGGTGTTTGGGTTGCCGTATGTAAAGGAACCAAAGCATGTATGCGAGGAATGATGCAAGACAAAACAGACAAGGAAGGTGTTCAAACATGACTTGCCTGTAAAATTAAAGCAAAAACTGGAGCTGGTTCATTCTGATGTGTGTGGAACCTTTGAAGTAAAGTCAAATGGAGGTAACAGGTATTTCCTTACTTTCATTGAGGAATTCATCAGACATATGTGGATTTACCTTATTGAAAGGAAGACTGAGGTATTCACACAGTTCAAGAAGTTCAAGTTGTATTCTGAGAAACAAAGTGGCTGCAAATTGAAGAAGTTAAGAACTGGTGGTGGTGGTGGTGAATATACTTATGCTGAATTTGCTATATTTTCAATGAGAAAGGTATAGATCATGAGGTTATTGCATCCTATACACCTCAGCATAATGACATAGCAGAGAGAAAGAATAGAAGTATAATGAACATGACAAGAAGTATGTTGAAAGCTAAAGATATGCCTAAGAGAGTTTGGGCTGAAGCTGCTTCGACAACAATATATATTCTAAATAGATGCCCAACAAAGAAGATGGTCGAAAAGACACCGCATGAGGCTTGGACAGAGTTGAAGCCAAATGTGTATCAGTCATCTTAGAGTTTTTGGATCAATGTGCTTCAAGCATGTACCTGAACAATTGAGAAAGAAGCTGGATGATCGAAGTGAAGTCATGGTTCTCATAGGTTATCATTCGACTGGTGAATTCAAGTTGTATTCGCCAAATAAAGATAAACTAGTGATCAGTCGAGATATTCTTGTAGACGAAAGCAAAGGGTGGGACTGGAGTGAAAGTTCAGTTCGACAAGAATCAGAAACAGTCACATCTGTGTCGATGATGATGAACATAATGAAGCTTCGACAAGTCGAAATGAACAAGGTGATACTTCAACCAGTCAAAATGAAGAAGCTCCTATGCAGAATGAAAGAAGGTCAACAAGAACGAGAACTGAGTCGACCAGGATAACTGGGTATGAAAGATTTCCAGATCAAGCATCCGATGTAGATGGTTACTTAATCGAAGAAGCCATGATGATGGCTGAAGCAGAACCAATTGGTCGGGCGAAGCCTTGAGCAATTCGAATTGGTGTGATGCCATGAAAGAAGAACTTAGAGCTATTGAGAAGAACAAGACCTGGGAGCTTGTCGAAAGAACCAACAAGAAACCAATCGATGTAAAGTGGATTTACAAGGTGAATAGAAGGCCAAATGGTGAGATTGTGAAGTATAAAGCAAGACTGGTGGCCAGAGGTTTTCTACAAAAACCTGGTATTGACTTCGACGAAGTATATGCACTTGTTTGAGGTTAGAAATAATCAGAATTGTTGTTTCGATAGCATCATATAGAGGATGGAAAATACATCAATTAGATGTAAAGTCATCATTCTTGAATGGTCCATTTGGAAGAAGAAGTCTACGTTACTCAACCATCAAGGTTCGACGTCAAAGGGAGGGATTCGAAAGTATATAGATTAAGGAAGGCTCTCTATGGTTTGAAGCAAGCTTATATAGCTTGGAATAAGAGGATAGATAGCTTCCTGATCGATACAGGTTTCATAAAGTGGGTCTCTGAACATGGAGTGTATGTAAATGATATCAACTGTGGCAACCGAATCATTTTATGCCTCTATGTTGATGACTTACTCATTACAGGAGCAGACGAAGCTGAGATGACAAAGGTAAAGTCGAAATTAATGCAGGAATTCGAAATGTCTGACTTAGGGAATTTCTCATATTTCCTAAG